TGGTTCATTTGCGGTATGGTGCGGTGTTCTTTGTTGGTTCGGTGCTGCCGCTGGATCGAAACGAGCCGGAACTCCGGCGAAATGAAACCACGGTACACTGGTCCGACACGGTAATGGTATGACTACTGTCACAGCATTGGTACGGGCTACTACGCTCCAACGCTTTGAGAAAGTTACTGGTTCGGATTGACACGGCAACCGGTTCAGCAATGGCATAATACTGGGACAACATGTTGGAGTCTGGCTTTGTTATTTTAGCGCTGACAGAACTCACTCCAGCTCAATGATATCGCCCTTGGCATGGTATCGGGCTTGTTCTCGAAACACTGCGGCACGTTCCAGCTGTTCTTTCAGTCATTATGGTCCGGTCACTGGTTCGTTACTGATGTTGAGGGCGGGCGGCCTGTGTGCGCAGAATGATTGAGGCCTGGCATTTTCCTATATTTCTTTGGTGCTAGCTGAGGTTATGTTTTCCGGCTCTAGTCGGTGGGCCCTTGACTGCAGATTGAGACTCGGTCCCTTGACTGAGGCCCTAGCACCCAACTGTGAACCCGTCTTGACTTGGCCGCTGTGGCCGAGCATTTTGGGCCTGGAGTTCGATGAGACAGGGTCCCGAGGGACTGTGGACGGAGATGAACCAAGTCGTATACAAAGGAGGCAGGCTAGAGTAAGGAGGGGAGAATTTTGGACTGGGTTCAGGGAGGCGAGCTAGGCAGCGCGCCAGGTGTACGCCGCGCCACCTGTTCGGTTAACTCTCGAGGTAGCCAGTTGGGCACACGATGGAGAGTAAACAGGGGAGATGAGCGATGGACAGGAAAAAGAGGAAAAGAGGGGACTGTCGCAAGAATGCATGCTAGGTGTACGCAGCCGACGGATCAGCGCTCGGTTACGGTAGCGGACGAAGCCGCGCCTCTCTCGTGCAGGAGGAATTAAGTCACAAAGAGATGGATGAGCCCTCGGACAGGTTTGCACAGGAAGACTGGATCTCCCCGCTTTGCTTCCACATGTGATCATGCTCGGGCGAAGTGAACAGCTGTTATCGTTGGCCGTGAAGTGAGCGACCATTGTCGCTGGCTGCCAACCGAGCCACTCCGCTAATGATGAGATGAGGGAAATTGCGGGCAAAGTGAGGAGCCATTATTGCTGATTGCGAAGATAGCCACATTCGCTGTTGATTGGTATTGGCGCTCCGTTGCGGGCGGTATCTGCTTTCCTGCCGGTGAGACTATAGCCACATTCGCTGTTGATTGGTACTAGTGCCCCGTTGCGGGTGGTATCTGCTTTCCTGCTGGAGAGACCATAGCCACATTCGTTGTTGATTGGGACTTGCTCTCTGCTGCGGGTGGCATCCACTTTCCTGCCGGTGAGACTATAGCCACATTCGCTTTGATTGGTACTAGCGCTCTGTTGCGGGCGGTACCTGCTTTCCTGCTGGAGAGACCATAGCCACATTCGCTGTTGATTGGGACTGGCTCTCTGCTGCGGGTGGCATCCGCTTTCCTGCCGGTGAGACTATAGCCACATTCGTTGTTGATTGGTAGCAGCGCTCCGTTGCGGGCGGTATCTGCTTTCCTGCTGGAGAGACCACTGCAATCAGACTCGTTCTCATCCACACTTTTCATGCATGTAAACAGTAGCGCAGCAAACTGGTAACATGTGCCCACTCAAAACTCAGAGATATGGCATCCAGATACGAGTTCACTTTCAACTGGCTATGGCGACTCAGCGCCCAAACAACTCACTGTTCACATACACCGGATCACCTGGATATCCCACACGCGAATCTCTGAACTCACACACACACACACTCGCTACACACTAACTCTAGCTATGGCGGCTATGGCCGCATCTACCCTATCGCTATGCTACGCTCCTCTCTTGCCCACTTCAGCTTCGGGCTCACTGCAGACCTCCTTGCACAAGTCGTTGTGGCAGCGCTTCCGCATGGCTCACGCAGAAATGAATGAATGGTTGGGCGTTGCCTCTTGATTTATACTTTTGAAACTCGTTGGTCTGCCCTTTGCCATCGGCCCATGGTGCTCACAGTCCCTTGTGGTACTTGCTAGACCGGACTGGGATTGACTGGACCTTACCTCTGACTGAGTGGGGACTCACTGCCAACCTACCACTGTCGTACTACAATCGCACTGCAGTTTAGTCCACCACTTGACTCACCACTTGCCCACTTGCCGACCTTCTAGAAGGCTACGGCTAGGACTTCTAGATTTCGCTAAGACTTCTATTCGACAGACCTACAGATCGAACCCCTGCTACCTACGGACCTATGACAGCCTATCAACCGTTTACGAATACACAGATCACAGGTTCAACTCTCGGGGTCTACACAGGTACTGTACATAGGTTGGGCAAGGTCTAGGGATCGAACCCTGGGATCTGCGTCTGCTACTGCAAAGAGGTGAAAACCGTTTCTCTCCCGCCGTCCTAAATTCGAGGTCCTCCGAGAATATTTTAGTCCAAGGCAGGACCTTTACCCTTCTTATCACGCTCATAGGCTCTGACTATGTCGGGAGCTGTTTCTAGAAGTTCTGTCCTTGTAAACCAACGGTCGTCTTCCGGTTCCTAATAAGCAAACCGGACCTTATACTGTTTCTGGGGACGACCTCTACCTCCTATTCTGAACACATCCTCATCTACAATGCTGTCAATGTCATAACTTACGCCCATATCCGGGGGGATCATGGATCTTCTTGAAGGGAACTGTTGACTTGTGGCACACAACAACAGCTTCGAAGCATGGAAAACAGGGTCTGTGTGGAGGTGTGTTGGAATCTCTATAGTGTAGGACGGTCCATCCTCTCCGCCCTTGACTTCTAGAACCGGCCACGGTCCTCTATATGCAGGCAACAACTTTTGCGAGATATGCTCCTCAGGTGCAAACTCTTTAGACTTGACCCAGACTAAGTCGCCTACCTGAAACTGTGATGGGCGACGGTGCTTATTGGCCTGTTCTATCATTCTGTGTTGGACCTTCCTGAGGTTTTCAACAACAGTTGCTAGTTATTTTTCGTGTTGTACTGCGAACTCCTTGGTACCGGGCGATAGTCTGTGAATCTGATCCCGGTTCAGTCCTTCAAACGGTATGCGTGGCCTAAAGGACTTGTGCAGCTCATTGGGAGTGCGATAGGTGGATAGATGCACGCTGTTGTTGTATGCACTAGCTACCTTAGGCAACATCTCATCCCAGTTGATCTGATCAGGTCTAATGTACATGTGCATAACTTGCTGTAGGATCTTGTTCGTTTGTTCTGTCTGGCCGTTGGTCTCTGGATGACGGCCAGATGACATTAACAACTATGACCCGTAAACTCTCATGAGTTCTTGCCAGTTCTGGCTGGCGAAATGACTATCTCTATCGCTAACTATGGATAATGGGATTCCGTTCTTACTAACCCAATGATAAAAAACTTTTGAATAACTAATTATGTGCGTGCCTCTGCAGGCAAAGGAACGAAAACAGCATACTTGCTAAAACGGTCAACTATGACCATGACTTGGCTCTTACCATGTCTACTCTTGACCTGAGTATCCATGAAGTCTATGGACACTGAGTCTCCCGGCTGGTCGGGAATGGGCAAAGGTCTGAGAAGACCTAGAAGGGCACGCGTAGTAGTTTTATTCCTCTGGCACACTTTACAACTGCGAACATACTCTGTGCAGTCATTCTTCATCCCTGGCCAGGTGTACGCACGCATCAGATTGGCTAATGTCTTTTGCCAACCAAAGTGTCCCTCTGCGTCATGGCATTCCCCTAGGATCAGACTGCGGATTTCCTCACTGTTGGGAACGCATAGGCGGTTGAATACATCTGTCGTCTCAAACAACAATCCTTTTGTAATGCGGTAGTGTGGCTCGGTCTCTGGAGCCTCCTTAACTCTCTTGAGGAGGTCACTATAGATAGGGTCCTACGTATACGCTTGCCTCACTTTCTCCTGCAGGTCTCTCCCTATATCCAGATAGTCTACAATGGCTCCAGAGTAGTCTGATCTCCTACTCAGAGCATCCGCAACTACGTTGTACTTGCCCTTTACTGGCTTGAGCTCAAAGTCGTACTGGTCTATCTCAGCGGCCCACCTAGTTAGCTTAGGTGTCATCTTGGCCTAGGTCTTTAACCATCTAAGTGTTTCATGGTCAGAATTCACTTTGAAGTGCCTCCCAAGCAGATAATGCTTCCAATGCTCTAAAGCCTACCTGAGAGCGTAGAGTTCCCTCCTGTACGCCGAGGTAGTAACCTTCTTTGAGGGCATCCTTGCTGACATTGAACTCTACGGGTCTATAGCCATTGTCGTCGTCCTGCTGCAACATGGCGCCTATTCCATACCGACTCGCGTCCGTGGTAATGACAAATGGCAAGGACGGATCAGCTACCTTGAGGACAGGGTATTCTATTAACGCGCGCTTCAGTCTCTTTAGCTCAGACGTACAATCTTTGTCCCATTGCCAGTTTGCCTCTTTCTTAAGCAACCTGCGCAAGGGAGCGGTGATAGTAGAAAAGTTCCTCACGAACTTTCTGTAGTAATTAGCTAGGCCTAAGAACGACTGCAACTCTGTCAATGTGCGGGGTGTCAGCCAGTCTCTTATTGCCGCTATCTTGTTGTGCTCGGGTTTGATCCCATCTCCATCTAATACGTGGCCCAAGTACAAAACTTGTGTCTTGGTCCACTCGCACTTCTTCGCGTTGATCTTGAAGTTTGACTCTCTCAACTTTTCCAAGACCTGCCACAGATGACCCTGATACTCCTGGAGGGTCTTGCTGAAAATTAAAATGTCATCTAAATAAACTACTACAACTTAACTAACCAAGGTCAAAATAGATCATTCATACAACGCTGAAAAGTGGCTGGCGCGTTGGTTAGTCCAAAGGGCATCACTATAAACCATACTTGCAAAAAGTAGTCGAGGGTGAGAAAGCTATAAAAAAGAAGAAAAAAAAAAGAAAGAAAGAAAGCTAAAAAATGCGGACCTTTTTTTTTTTTTTTTTTAMAACTAAAAGGCGGACGTATGCGTTAGGGTATACCGAAAACAGCATTTTTTGAAATGTATTTTCAACCTTTATAGGCGCCGGAACTCGACGCATCTGACTGCAACCACGCCCCGAAATCTGTATGCGAAAACACCAGGTCCTACGAACCGCACCCCCACAGACTGGATCCGTGCGGAGATCCGTACGAGGGGTGCTCTATCTCCGCACATTCCGCACCCGCACAGACCGGATCCATGTGGAGATCCATGCGGATTTTTTTTTATTTTTTTTTTTTTATTTTTTTTTAAGGGGGGTCTGAGGGGTCCAAGAGGTGTTACCTGCGCAACTTTTAAGGGGGGTCTGAGGGGTCCAAGAGGTGTTACCTCGTCCTCATCATCAGAAGATTCAAAACCTCCGTCCTGTTCCCGTCATCACCGTCACCATCACGATAATCATCACCATCACGATCATCATCACCACCACGATCATCATCACCATCACGATCATCATCACTATCGGCGTCATCGCCGTCATCATCATCAGAGGATGACGACGATGAAGCCGAACACGGTACACTTCCCGCCACCGTCCCCCTCGCCAGGACGTGCTCGCCGATGCTGCCTCCTGCTTCCACCTTCTTCCCTGCCATCCACTCATGCCCCTGTCTCCTTGGCCCGCAGCGCAATGGGAACGACACAGAGAAGATTAGCACGACCTCTGCGCAAGGATGATACGCACAAATCGAGAAAAGGTCAAAAAAAAAAAAAAACTCGACATATTCGACACCTGTGGGAGAAGAGGAGGAGGAGGAGAAGGAGGAGAAGGAGGAGGAGGAGGAGGAGGAGGAGGAGGACGACAAGAACGGAGGACGAGGAGGAGAGATGGAGGATGAGGAAGGGGAGGAGTAGGACGAGCAGGAGGAGGAGGAGGAGGAGGGGAGGAGGACGACCTGGAGGAGGAGACGAAACGGAAACGGAGGGATGGGAACGATACAGAGAAGATTGGCACGACCTCTGCGCAAGGATGATACGCACAAATCGAGAAAAGGTCAAAAAAAAAATAAAAATCGATATATTCGACACCTGTGAGAGAAAAGGAGGAGGAGGAGGAGGAGGAGGAGGAGGAGGAGGAGGAGGACGAGGAGAATGGAGGACAAGGAGGAGAGATGGAGGATGAGGAAGGGGAGGAGTAGGACGAGCGGGAGGAGAGGAGGAGGAGGAGGAGGAGGAGGAGGGGAGGAGGACGACCTGGAGGAGAAGACGAAACGGAGGGATGGGAACGATACAGAGAAGATTAGCACGACCTCTGCGCAAGGATGATACGCACAAATTGAGAAAAGGTCAAAAAAAAAAAAAAACTCGACATATTCGACACCTGTGGGAGAAGAGGAGGAGGAGGAGGAGGAGGAGGAGGACAAGAATGGAGGACGAGGAGGAGAGATGGAGGATGAGGAAGGGGAGGAGTAGGACGAGCGGGAGGAGAGGAGGAGGAGGAGGAGGAGGAGGAGGAGGAGGAGGGGAGGAGGAGGACGGCCTGGAGGAGGATACAAAATGGAGGGATGGGAACGATACAGAGAAGATTAGCACGACCTCTGCG